GGAGGGAGGGAGGGAGAGAGAGGGGGAGACAGAGAGAGAGAGAGAGAGACAGAGAGACAGAGAGAGAGAGATCCTGTCTGTTAGCTGCCAGGCAGCAGGCTGGGCACTAGGAAGATGCCCCTTTCTTTCCCTGGGGGATGTTGGGGGCCCTGGAGATGAGCTTCCCAGGGGAGTTCCACTGGGGAGCTCCTGAAGTGTTTCATGTGTCATTTTGGCCCCCAGAGCGATGGGACACTACTGGCTACTGGCTCCTATGACGGTTTTGCAAGAATATGGACGGAAGATGGTAAGTCCTAAGCCCCGCCTGTTGGGTCGGATAAGAGGTTCCTGTGCAGTCAGTGGGTGACTCTGAAGTGTCAACATGTTTGTTTTCGCCTCCCAGGTAACTTGGCCAGCACCTTAGGCCAGCATAAAGGACCTATCTTCGCCTTGAAGTGGAACAAAAAGGGGAATTACATTTTGAGTGCTGGTGTGGACAAGGTGAGTATCAGCTTAAAATACATTGCTTTGATCTGCAGCTGCTTGTTTGTCGTAGTCTCCTGATGTCTTTCAGGTCTTGGGCTTCTGCTTCTCCTGAAGGTATCAAAAGACCTTGTTTGGGCTCAGTTTGTTTTTGAGGTCTTGAGCTTCCCTCGAGCATAGCATGTCATAATGCAGTGTTGCTTTTCCGCAAGGCGTCCCCTTCTTTTTAAGGGGATGGAAAGTGGAAAGTGCACACATTGCTCATCTTCATGCCTGCAAGGCAAACCTGGGCGGGTCTGATGTGCCTCGCCATCTCCTCCTCCCTGGGGCCATTTCCTCAGTTACCAGGTGACAGACCGCCTGGAGTCACGACCCTTCTACCTGGGACTCATTGCGGCATCCCAAGGGCCCAGGAGGAATTGTAAGTGCTGGGTGATAGTCAGATTTCCAGAGCTATGACCACAGTGAAAAAGAGGAGAGGTTTAGCTTGGCTCAGGATTTCAGAGGATGCAGTTCCTGGCTGGCGGGACAGACACACAGGATGGCAGATGGGCGTGGTGCGGAAGAACTGTCGCCTCGTGGTTTATAGGAAGCAGAGAGCAAGAGGAGAGAGGACGGGCCAGGGGCCTTCCCATGCATGCCCCTAAGGACCGCCTTCCCCTCCTAGGCTGCAGCAACTAGCTTTTTCCCATAACTCTTCAGTTTATTGATGGACGGTAAGATTAGCACCCTATGGTCCAGCCACCTTTCAGAAAGGCCCACCTCTGAACACATGAGCCACTGGGGGCATAGTGTTTATATAATCCATAAAACATGGCTGTGGAAAAGGAGTATTATCAAGAACTGAATACTGTGCATTATTCGCTCGGTACTTCCACCAAGCTGGACCTTCTAAAAGAATCTCTCTCTCTCTCTCTCTCTCTCTCTCTCTCTCTCTCTCTCTCTCTCTCAGTCTCTCTGTCTGTGTCAGAAATAGAACTCAGGACCTTGCACTTGCCAGGGAGGTGTTGAGCTATATCCCTGGTCCGCATATAAGGGTTTCTCTATAATTTTAAAATCTTACTAGCTTTCTGCTCATTCAAGTTGTAAAACTTAATATAATCAGCTTATCTGACCTCCTAACAGCATCATCTTCCAATATCACCATCATATTTCAACAGCATCACCAACATGACATGTGAACTTATTACAGTTGTGTTTGGCCTACACAAACCACATAATCTCTGGCCCTTTGCCTGTACTTTTAAATAAAGTTTTATTGGTACGCAACCATATCGCTCTGTTGAGAATGGCCCATGCCTCCTTTTACAGTGCAGTGGCAGAGTTATGCAGTTGTGAGAGAGGTCGCTTGAGCCTCAAGACCCAAAGTGTTTATTCTTCCATCCTTGACAGAGTCTGCCAAATCCTCCAGCAGGGCATCAGGGTCTAGGTCAGCCATGGCGAACCTTTTCGAGCTTCCAGTAATGACAGCCTGCTGCACTGTGGTTTCTAAGTTTGTGGGGAGGGAGACTCCCCCACCCATTTTGGTAGCTTCGCCTAGTGTCACTTAAGCTTATTCTGTCCCACACAGCCAGCACAGGTAGCTGGACAAACTCAACCGGTGTGGCTTTCATCAAGGGTAAAATACAGCACTTCAGACCCTTGGGCTAAACGAGGAATGGTACACATCTCACTTATGTTTCATTTATTCATTTATTTGGTGCAGGGTCTCGCTACACAGCTCGGACTTGTAGTGTTGCTCCTGTCTCAGCCTCCCCAGTGCTGGGATTATAGGCGTGTGCCACCACACTCGATTTCAGTGGCTGGCACAGTGCATGGCCGGCACAGCACGCAGTACCGGGGATTGAACCCAGGTCTTTGTACTTGCCAGGCAGGCACTTAGACCTGTCAACTCTCTCCTCAGCCCTTATTGATGTTTTCATACCAACTACATGTCAAAGCAATAATATCTTGGCTGTATTGGGATAAACTAAACTCTTCAAGTGAACTTCACTATTTTTTGTTGTTGTTGTTGTTGTTGTTTTTGATGTTTATGTAAAAAAGCACCATGGCTCACACCCTCTTCTTTTGGACCATGATGATTTGGAAGCCAAACAGGCTAATTTTTTTTCTCCTATGATTCATTTGCTGGAGTAATCATGATGAGAAGAGATTATTAACGTTATCCTTTGTTTGTGGAACAGACGACAATAATTTGGGATGCCCACACAGGTGAAGCCAAACAGCAGTTCCCTTTTCATTCAGGTGAGTTTGCTGCTGCTGCTGCTGCTGCTGCTGCTGCTGCTGCTATGATTTATGCATAGGTTGACCCCAGAAGTGCTTCATTAGCTGCCGAGGTGTTAGGGAGTAGAGAGAGATGAAGTCAAAAGCCCCGGGGCTGACATGAGCCAAGTCACTGGCTCCCTGGCCTACCATGTTGCGGTGGGATGGTGGTAAACTATCCAGAAAAGAAGCCGAAAGGTCCAGGGTAAGATCTGTGAGCAGGGCGGTGTGCAGAACTCAAGGAGCTTGAGGGTCCTTGTTGCTTGTGGTCTTGCTGTCACTAAAGAACCACACCTGAAACAGGAAGTGGTCAGGTGTTCAGAGAAGGCAGGGGTTTGACAAGTAGCCTAAAGGGTTGGTTGGTGGTGGGGACAAGGAACCCCCAGGAGCTAGGGAGCAAGAGGATGCCCTTCCCAGGCCCGTGCTAGACACCCACTGTGTCTAACCAACAACCACTGTGTTCCAGGGGCCTCTTGGGAGACCAGTTATGCACCAAGCCATGGGCTGCATTAGCGCATGGCAGATTTGTTTAATCGAAGAATCTTGCACATAGACTATGTAGCCTTCTCCCCTTTTTGGCTATACCCTGTCTAAAAATAAACCCAAAGGGCATGAGTGGGCTGACCCGTGCTTGTCTCCTCTCTTTGTGGCCCATGCAGTGGGAGCCACAGTTGCAGCATAACTTGGGGCACAGGAGCTGGCCCAGGGTCTCTTTCCAGAGGCAGCTTGTGGTTCCTGCAGATTGGACAGAGCCTTTCAGGCCTTTGGAGGGAAGAACCTTTGTTTGTTGTATTGGGCGTGCTCTTGATTGCATTATTACTAGCTGAGGCTTCTTGGGTGTATGTTAATTTTTCTGAGCTGTGCACAGTGAGAGACTACAAATGTCCTCCCTTTTCTGCCCACAGCACCGGCTCTCGATGTGGACTGGCAGAACAACACTACTTTCGCCTCCTGTAGCACAGATATGTGTATTCACGTGTGCAGGCTCGGCTGCGACCGCCCAGTCAAAACCTTCCAAGGACACACGGTAAGTGGGTGCCCCGACCACTGGATGTGAGTTTGTGTGTGGGTGATGCATGGGCTGTTTCTTTGATACTTGAAATTAAAAGACTTGCCGATGGCAGATACTGTTCTTCAACCCTTGACTATTGGGCTGTTGTGGGTGCTGCAAAACATTGGGTCAGCCCCACTGTGGTTAGCAAATGAGCAAAACAGACCCTGGCCTGGCCCAACACAGACTTCAAGGCAGCTATGAAAGTGTGTGAAGATGTAAAGGAAAAGGTGCTCATAATAAATGAATAAACGGAACATGACCAGAGAAAATGAAAATCCGTGTTTTGACAGAACAAAAACTTGAGAACTAGATGGCTAAGGTTTGGAATGAAAGTCTTAGTGGGTGAGCTTAACAGCAGGTTGGAGATTACAGAAGTGAAGTTACTGCACCTAGAGAAAAATCACAGTGGAGCCAGGCCTGGTTGTGCACACCTGTGAGCCCAGGAGGAGCTCGAATGTTGTGCATTCGAGACCAGCCTGGGCTGCAAAGTGAGCTCAGCCTGAACTGCCTGGTGAGCCTGACCTCAAAAAGACAAAACAAGGAAAAAAATCTCAGAAATGGGCCTATTGAGAGAGCCCTAACAATTGCAAAAATGAATAGCGGCCTCATAACCTGTAGGACAGTGTCATGTACTCCATGTCTGTGAAGCCGGGAAAGAAAAAGATAATGAAATAGAATCATGCAATCCAGTTCTCCTGCTGTGGAAAGTATCAACACTCAATTCTAGAGATGCAGCAAGCTCCCAAGAGGAAGAAATATAGAGAATCACACGCATACATAGCCCTAGCTGGCTGATCACCGGACACTAGAAATAAAGACAGGAGTCACAAAAGTGCCCCCACGGAGCAATAGCATGATTGATTACTCACTTGCAAGCTTCCTTATAGAGGGCAGGTCCATCCTCGGTATCTACGAACCCCCCCCCCCCCCGAGCACCTCACACCTTCCCAGCCCTGTGTGAAACACTTCCCACCTTCATTCGCAAGCTGACTCACACTCCAAACCCTCCCCATATCTGCCAGGGAGGGACCTCATGCAGAGGTCCTACAAATCCACCCACACTGCTGCTTCCTGCTGGGGTGCCTCACTCTTGGCCTTGGGGTGGCAGCCAGTGCCTGGGGTCATGGCCATAGGGCAGAGGAGATGGGACATGAAAAGAGTCACCATTGTTGTCATGGTTTGGGGTTTTGCAAGGAGAACGACACAATAGAGAGTACTTATTTATTATGAATCACCCAAAGAATCATATACAAAGAGTGCAGGCAATCTGTCCACAGAATCCAAGGAGACTGAAGAAGCCAGTTGAGGGTGTGGATCCTAATGTCCTGCATGAGTCCAGCTGAAGACCTGGAGCCCATAACTATCTCTCCCATGGTTCCAGCTAGAGGCCTAGAGTCTACGACAATGTTCATACAGGCCTGCTTCATGGATCTGCACTGGGAAGGCCCAAAGTTCAGTGGTGGCAGCTAGAAAGTCTGCCAGCAGAGTGTGGGGTCTGTGCTAGCAGCTGAGGGATCTGCATTGGAGCCAGGAAGCCGTGTTCATCGGAAGAACGAGAGCTCCCCTCAAAAGTAGCACAGCCGTTCTCAGCAACAGTGAGGTCCTGAGACCCTCCGGTGAAGAGGAACCCTAAGTTCCCATCAGGCAAGCCAGTGGGGGAAGCTTGTCCGTGAGGCTGAGCAGTGTACTGTCTTCCCCTCTGGAGCCAGGAAGCGATGCTCAAGGTGAGGACCAGGATCCTGCCAGATGAACTGCAGCCAGTGTCAGTGATCACGAGATCCCGAGCTCCTCCAGTGACAAGAACAGCCAAGTTCATTAGCAAAACCTGCATGAGCAGGTCCTCCCGCAGAATAGCCCAAGAGACCCAGCAGCTCCCAATAGCTCCAACAGCTTCTCCAAACAGCTTCCCTACCAGCTTCCCAACAGCCTCTGCAGTTCTGTCTCTTATACTGCTGGCAGCAACCCTCGGGGGGCCTCCCACCCCCAGAACCACACTGCCTCAGTTCAGCGTGGTGTAGCAAGTTAACCACAAGTCGGCAATCCACCACAGTCACGGTGGCAGAATAAGTGCCACCAGTACCACGGCTCCGGGTGCCTCTGGCGGTGTGGTCCCCTTGGCTTTTCCTCTTCACTTTTCCCAGCCAGCTGTGTCATGTGGAGCACTGATGTGGTCTTGTCACTTCGCACCCTGCTAACCTTTGTGTCCCTAGCAAGGAGAGTGACCACCTTGTTTGTATTGCACCAGAGCCCCCAGGAGCGTGACATTTTCAGAAAGTGAATTCTGTGTGTGCTGTGTCTTAGGCCCAGACAGTATGCGTGGTGTAGAAGTGCTGTCCTGGTAGTGACAGTGACCTCACTAGGAAGGCTGTTGCCGGGCGTGCATGCGCGCGCGCACACACACACACACACACACATGCCCCTTTGGGTCACCTCACTCTCTGTCCTCGCTGCAGGAACCCAGGCTGCAGCGGGTCCTTTACCTCCTCAGCCTCCTCTCCCTGACCCACGGCCCCGTGTCACCTCCCTGCAGAGCCTGGGAGCCCAGGCCTCCCTGGCTGAGGGTTTCGTGCCTCCATTTCCCCGGCTGTGGTCCAGTCTCCTTCTTTTGCCTGAAACCTCACCTTGTCTACAATTTGTCTGTTCTCTTCCCCATCCACCAAATGTGCAGGCACCGATTTAAACAGAGCGGTGGCTGTTGTGCTAAGATCATGGTCCAAAGCTGTGGCTTTCTTGCTTTAAGCTATATGAATTCTTCATTCAGCTTCTCTCCTTATAGAGACTTTTTTTTCCTTAAAAAAATGTAGGTGCGCATGGCTGGTTATATGTAGTAGATGCTATGCCTTTTTATATAAGTGAAAAGAAGGCAGAGTGAGAAAAAGAAAATATATGGGCTTGTGGGAAGTGTTCTGGGATCTCTGGGTAAATTCTGGAAGCTGTTGGCTGCGAGGACAGAGTCCAGCGCCCCTTGGTGGATGGTGGCTGCCATAGCGACTCGCCACACTCAGCGTTTGGGTCTTTTAAAACCCTTTCTGCTCTCTTGCAGAATGAGGTCAACGCCATCAAATGGGATCCTTCCGGAATGTTGCTAGCGTCCTGCTCTGACGACATGACATTAAAGGTAAGCCCCTTCCTGGGCAGCCAGCAGCTGGTTTGCCTGGCTGACACTGTTGTGCGAGCTGATGGGCGTCTCGCGGGGGACAGGGTTGCTTCTGTTATCCCCAATGTTTTCCGTAGATCTGGAGTATGAAGCAGGACACGTGTGTGCACGATCTTCAGGCCCACAGCAAGGAGATATACACCATCAAGTGGAGTCCCACGGGGCCCGCCACCAGCAATCCGAACGCCAACATCATGTTAGCAAGGTAAAGGAAGGGCGGGGCAGGGACCTGGGGCCTGGTCCTCAGCATGGCTGCCTGCCCTGGGGTTAGCAGCCCGACCAAGAAAGCAGCTTCTACGCTGAGAGCACAAAAGCTCCTGGAAGGTGTTGGAGGAGGGTTACAATCGTCCAAACTGCACAGAGTGGTGTATTGCTGTAGAGGGCCAGCTGCGTGGAAAGTGGCATCATCCCTGGATCTCCACGGGATCGATTCCAACAGCCATTAGGATAACAAGACATAGGGAGCTCAGCGCGGGTGTTGAGTGGCCCAGGATGTGCGTAGAACCTGTGCACTTGACACTTAAAGTCACCCCTAGGTGACTGCCATAGCTAAACAGTGCAGTTGGTGTACTGTGTTGGTGCAGGATAATATGTATGTGTGTTCAATATAGACACAGCTCCTGTCCTTGCTTTTTTCTGGTGGTGGTTTTGTTTGCTTGCCTGCCTGCTCGCTTGCTTGTTCTGTGGTGCTGGGGATGAAACCCAGGGCCTCGTGTGTGCTGTGCTAGCACCACAGCCCGCTTGCGTTTTACAATCTGCAGCTGGCTGGATCTGCAGGCGTGGAATAAGCTGATAGGAAGGGACGGCTGGGTCAGTTTGAGGCGAGGATTGTGTTAACCAGGAGGTCAATAGGAGGGGTGTGGCCTGGCTCCCGGCTTCAGACCCTTTGCTCTTTGTTAAGACCAACAAACAGGATGAGGTTAGCTGGGGCCTTGTGCTTGGTTTACAGAGCTCCACTCAGAGCTGTTGGAAGTAGGGATCCCCCGGCTCCAAGTAGACCTGCCACAATCTTTTTTATGGTGAACCCACCAAGACACGAGCAAAGGAGTGGGGCAGCCAGTCATTCACACGAGAACTGGGGAAGAGTGGTCGTCAAGGACGGAGGTGGCCACCCCAAGCCACGTCCCCTTTGCTTGGGTGACGAATCATTGCATCCTACTGCTCGGGGCCCCAGGAATGCAGTGTTCCACTCCTGGTTTTGTTTCACTCACTGTCGCAGTGCTGGGGCTTGAGCCCAAGCTAAGCAAGAGCCCAATCAGGAAGCCCCAGCCCAGCTCTACCTTTGGCACTTTAATAAGTTTCTGAGACGTGAAGCCATGAAACAGGATAGTCCGGAAACCATGCTGTAGGTCATTGGAGTTCGTCTCTATGGAGTGTGGATGTTTGTTTAACCTGAAGAAGACAAGATGTGGGAGGGATACTCGGTTAGCAGGAAGTGCCAGGGGTGGGGCCATTCTGGGTCTTCCAGAGAAGAGGATTATGGGAGAGGTGGCAGGTCGGAGGTGGGTAGACAGCAGTGAGGACAGTTGTTGTGGAAATAACGGGAAGGAATTCAGGCATCTGTGGAGTGGCTGAGCCAGGATAACCCAAAGGCCAAAGTTCTCCAATTTCAAATAATTATGCTACAATCAGTTGATACAGTGTCACACACTAGAGATCTCCGGAAGGTACTTTGTGTGACATGGAACCCATTAGGAGTACAAATTATCCTTTTGTCACCAAGTATAAAAGAGACCTCCAAGGACCAGTGAGACAGCTCAGCGGACTAAGCGCTTGCTTAAGTAAGTGCAGGGGGCCAGGGTTCGATCCCTGGCACTGTATGCCCCGCCGGCCCCGCCCCTGGGTGCGCTGAGCCCACGATGGCGTCTGGACATGGTGATAATCCCAGCGCTATGGAGGCAGAAAACAGGAGTATCACTACGAGTCCGAGTTGCACAGTGAGCCCCTGCACAAAAAAGTAAAATAAAAGAGACTTCCAGTGCCAAAAATGACAACTCAGTGATGCGTATTCTGTCCTTCTAAATTGGAGAACAGCTAACATCGGCCCCGCTTGGCAGTGTTGTCTTGTACATGGCTGTGATTGTGTATCAATTCCTCTGGGCTTAAAATTTCTCTTATGTATCCATTGTTTCCTGGGGTTTTCTTCTGATTGTAACTAGACAGGTCCTTTTAGCTGCTAAGAGAGGTTTAGGTTATAAATTATGGGAGTGCATTAGAAAACAGGAATGTTCCACAGAAGGATTTATCATTCATAATGGTAGAAAATGAAGAAACAGATGAATATGGTAGCAATTTATTTTCCCAGTAACAGCACCAAAAATAATAATATTAATAATAAAATATGACTTTGGCTTTGTTTTCTGTGCATATGAGTTTATGTTTCAGGAAAAAAAAAAAAAGGTTCACTAGTTTATTGTGACTTGCAAGGCAAAGAGCCTGTGAGGCCAGGCCCGCGCTGCAGAGAAGGCTTAGAAATGCTTTATCTACTCCCCTCCCAGCGCTTCGTTTGATTCCACGGTTCGGCTGTGGGATGTGGAGCGGGGTGTCTGTATCCACACGCTCACGAAGCACCAGGAGCCTGTCTACAGCGTGGCGTTCAGCCCTGATGGGAAGTATTTGGCCAGTGGTTCTTTTGACAAGTGTGTGCACATCTGGAATACGCAGGTAACCTCCCCAGTGCTGTGGTTGAATTCTTCGAGAAAGCGGGCCTGAGCGCCCTGTGGGCCATGGCCCCACAGGGAACTCAGGCTTGGGACTGGGCTGAGCGCTGTGTGTAGCTGGAGGTGTGAGTGCCTTCCCTGGGCTTTTTCGGAGTCCCTGCTGAAGAAAATGCCATGTGCCCAGGGAAGAGGTGGCTCTGCTGTGTTCTCTCTGGGAGTACTGCCGCTGGAGAGGGGTGGCATGTCCCTTCATGGAAGCTTTCTGGGGAGAAATCCTTCCAAATTATCCATGCTTAGCTGACCCACCAACTCGGTCAGCACGACCGTGGAGCCAGTCTGGGTGGAAAGCAATGTGCATGACTGCCAGATGAAAGAGTCCCATGCCCGCATGACAGGGGTGTGTTGGTACTAGTCTGTCCCTTCTCTGAGCATGGAGAAGCAGGATGGGAGTCAGTCATTGTGGGGCTCTCTGGTGACAGAAGAGTCTTAGATGGCTGTGCATGTCTAAGAAAGTCTTGGCAAAACCAAGAGGGAGTATTTGCTTACATGCACAAGGCCCTGGGTTTGATGTTTAGCACCCCAAGAGGAAAGCCAGCGGGACACCCCTGAGCCAAAGCTCCATGCCATCAGCCAAGAATGTGTCTCATGGACCACCTGACTGAGGCCACTTGGTGCCACCAGACCTTGAACTGGCAGCAGCCGTGGCCCAGACGTGGTACTGGCTTCTCTGCAGGGTTAAGGTTGGGGTATCACAGGCCACAGCCACCGTAGTGGAAATCCTTCTAACTTCTCTGTGCTTACAAGTGTTCCTGGTCAAATACAGGGTGTGGGGAGGACAGTCTGGTCCACACCCCAGCTCTCAGGACCCCCAGCACTGCAAGTGACGATGACCATGTGTTGCTTTGCAGAGCGGAAGTCTGGTCCACAGCTACCGAGGCACGGGCGGCATCTTTGAGGTGTGCTGGAATGCTCGGGGCGACAAAGTGGGTGCCAGCGCATCTGATGGCTCCGTAAGTGGCTCCCTTGACTGACAGGGATGGGCAGGGAGCAGGGCACAGACAGACACAAGCAGCTGGTGCCTGAGTGGCATCAGTACACAGCAAGCGCCCAGCCAGCGCAGGTGGTGGGGAGGAAGCCTGTGCTTGGAAGGCACCACATCAGGAATAGCCTTCTCATTGTCCTTTCCAGAGGGCTCTGCCCCCAGAGCACATGAGACACACTTGGAGGCATTCCATCTCCTCCTTATGGGCTCTGTCCTGTCCAGTGGGACACCTAGGAGGTTCGGCAATTTTCCTGACACAACTTTTCCACTCCATGCTGTTTGCCTGAATGTGGTGGGGCAGATGCTCAACATCTGGCCTGTTACCAGATAGTCTCTGGCTCTCCTGACTGTCCCAATAAAACTTTATTTATAAATACATCCACGACTGTCCCCAGGGCTGTGCTTATGCTATCCTGTGTTCCGAAGGCCTCCTGTTGTGCTCCTCCAGCTAACAGGTGTTTCGTCTTTCCTTCCAGGTATGTGTTTTGGATCTGCGAAAATAAACACAAAATATGATAGAGAAAAGAAAGAATCCTCGTGGACCAGCAATGGATGTGTGGCATTGTAGCACACTCCCAGTGGTCCGCTCCAGAACCATGTGAACGTCACTTGCATTAGAGCGTGCTTTGACGTTAGCTCCTCCCTGGGCCCAGGAGTCTATATATATATATATATTTTTTTTTTTGTAATCTTCATCCAGAAGTTTAAAAACCAAGCAAATCCAAAAAGCATACACACAGTCATATCGAGGGGGGGAGAAGGGTCTCCACGTATGACATCCCCCCGGGGAAGAATGAAGGCACCAGTGGCTTGGTTTCCACCCATAGCAGGGTCATGGCTAAGTGTGGGAAAGGCTGTGCCAAAAACAAAACAAAACAAAAGCAAAAAAACAACAACAAAAAAAAAACCAAGTGAAATGCTGTGATAAACCAAAAGGGGAAAGAACACCTTGCTCTTGTGATACCCCCAACCCCTCTTGCAAGGGTGTGTTCAAAGACCAGTTTGTACCCCTGAAATGCGCAACTTTGTAATCCCAACACTTTCTATTTTCTAGAACCTTCTTTGTTCAGTGGTTTTTCTATTTGCTGTAATTCTGTCATCCGAGGGCTTGGGTTTGAGATGGGAACTGTTTTAGGTTTGTTGTTTCGTTCCCGCCACCCTGTCACTGTTGCCCTCTGTGAGGTTTTCTTTGTCTGATGTGGTCTTGCCCTTTGTGACACCCGCAGGGACATGGGGACTAAACCATGGATAGGCATAGACAGCTTTCTCCCTCCCACTCCCCTCCGCCCCTCCCCTCCACTCACACTCCTGTCCCTTTCTCATAATTGCTTCACATCTGAGGTTGCAAAAGGCACTTTCAGCGCAGAATAAGTGCTTTATGTAAGAAAGCGGGGAGGGGAATTTTTACAGGAGAAAAAAAAAAAAAAAAAAGACTTATAAGAGAAAGAGCCTGGAGTATTTTTGGAAAAAAAAAATATTTTTATGTTTAAACAATTTTAAAATCCTGAAATGGCCATCAGACATAGAGAGCTTTGTGTGATTCATATTTTAAAAACACAGACATTTATGAAGATACAGGCAGAGTCAGAGGTAGCTTGCCCTTTCTCTCCAGTGGCGTGGAAGGTGGCCGGCAGCAGGGGAAGAGGCCATCCTTGGCCACAGTGTGGTCCTGTGATGAGTCTCTCTCAGCAGTGTGGTGGTCTACAGGCCTGCCACCAAGAACGTGCCCATCGGGACCTTGTGAGACTCACCTGAAGGCTCCGGAGGGTCCCTTCATCTAATGACAAAATAGGGACACTGGAGGAAGATGTTTAGGCCTGAAGATGAATTATTTTGTAGGTACAACGTGACCCATCCCATCCGCTGGCTTTATCATTTCTTTCTCTCACTGCAGACAAGGAAAGAGAATTGTTGTTGTTGTTTTGGTTTTTTTTAACGATGAATCTTTACTGTTTTTTAAAAGTTAAACACAGCTTTGTGTCCCTGGGACTGTTTGCTTCTTACTGGATGTGGGTGACCCTTGTCTGCTCGTCATTATAGCATAGCCCTGGTCCTACCGGCAGGAGCAGACTGTAAGCCAGGCCTCTTCCTGAGAGCTGAGGAAGGGCCCTGGGCATGGTGGGAGATGTGGGCTGCACTCCTTACCGAGGCGGGGTGCTATTCAGAGAGTGGTGTCCACTCACAGGACAGGAAATGGGTGACAAGGACCAACCAGGCAAGCCAGCGAGCACTGGACCCTACGGAGTAATCAGAGGGCAAACAGACCAGAAAGGGCCATGTTTTCTAGTGGAGTATTGCACTTGGGCTCTGTTACTTGAACACTCAACAGGGAAAACCCAAGTTCTGTGAAGTCCTGGGTCCCAATTTCCAACACTGCAGGTGTCCCCACTGAGGAGGCTGTCGGGAGTACAGACACCATCTTTAGAGCTCCCCAGAGAAATACACGTTCATCTCCACCTAGTATCAGCTGTCAACTGGCAGCCCATTGTTCAGGTGTGGGTGGTGAAAAGGACGTCAGAGAAGGGACTCCCTAGACAATCTCGGTCTGGATGCAGTGGGTGTCCCTCCTGAGGTGAGCGACATGGCCACCTCATCACACTTGGTGGGCTGGCACCCAGCCTGGCGAACCCTGACAAGCAGGCTCTTCCTGCACATAGGGCCACCGTGACCCCTCCTGCCCATCAGCGTGGCGGAGCACAGGTCAGAGGGACCAAGCCAGAGGATGCTGCTCTCAGCAAAATGACATGACCGCTGGCTGTGGTGGGGGGGTGTGGGGGGCAGCCATGGCTGCGTATCTCCATCGCCTGGCTGCTGGAGCCAGTAGGCTCAGCACCGAAGTCAAGCGCATGGGCGTTGCGTCACCCGACGTTGTCTACAGCTGTTACGCAATAGTGAGGATCCTTCAGTCTGAGTGACCAAATGTAACCTTACAAGCAAGTACAAGTGACCATGAGCCCTGTCCAGCACATGCGTGGGAAAGGGAGGTTGCCCCGCAGGGGACCAGAAGGACCACGGGGACGCCGTGGGGTTCAGCTCTCCAACCCTGCACGACGCCGATGCCCGCCGTAGGACTGGACCTTTTGTTCTGTCTTTCTCAAGCATAGATCACAGAGCCGAGTCCCATGCACTTTGTCCAATGTAAGGATCTGCTTTGTTCCTTTGTATTTTTTTTTTCTCTTTTTTTAACCTCTTGTTCCACCTTTATTTTGTTTTCCATTTTGTTTCTTGTCAAATATAGAAGTGTCTCTTCTACCGCTCACTGAAGTTTTGAATTCTGGCTTCTGCAGTTTTTATTGTCTGTGTCAGACATACAGCCAGAGGTGGTTCTCGGTCAGCATTTCCCAGATTCTGTTCAACAGCATCGCCCACCCCCGATTTGTTCTGTATCCCCACCCCTACTCATCCCTCACGCTGTTGGAGAAAAAAAAAAAAAATCACCCTGTGTGTTGTAGCTCATTTGTTTCCAGAGAGAATCAACAGATCATATTCAGTGTCTTGAATAAATTGCTCTATTTTGATATTAGAGAACTTGGTGGCTGTGTTTTTTGGTTTTTTTTTTTTTTTTTTTTTTTTTTTCATCTTCCTCTGCTGTTCAGAGCCTGTATCTACACTGGGGTATGAACACAGAGCTTTGCATTTTCTCAGGGCCGAAACAACCCAGGTGACTCAGTGCAGGATAGCTCTGTGAAATGGGAGAGGACAGTAGGTGTCGTGGAGTGATGATCTCAAATGAGGATGGGCTCCAGAGTCCAGCAGTCCAAGAGAAAGAAACAAGACAGAGCGAGGGTTGCACAGAGACTTACCCAGGGTGGGTGGCCCAGCACAATGACAGGACCAGTTGGGTCCTTACCACTAGGATCAAAAGCAGGGATTATGAACAATCTGGAACACGGGGTTCATCTTAGCTGAATGTACCTGGTTATCTCCAGCTAACATCAAAGAGTCGGGCACATTGCTGTAGCCAGGGTCCAGGTACAAAGTATTTTGATGGCTTTGTCTTGTGTTTTGAGCAGCCTACACAGGGCCAACCAACTAGGGTTACTCTGCTGCAGCCATGATAGTTACGACTCAAGGTGGTGGCAGTCATGTCAAGTGGAATCCACACAGATGTGCAACACAGCCCCTGTTTATTCTAGAAGGTCATTGATTACCTAAAAGGAGCCTTTGTCTCAGTATATCCCCTTTTGATCATTTCACTTTAGTTTTTGAAAGGCAGAGCAAATGCATTGTCACATTAGCAGGTTGGTTTGCCGAGCGCTTGTGTTCAAGGGATTAGCCCTGAGTCACTAGAAGAACTAGTGTTCTGCATAGAACAGGATGACCTGGACACTGAAATCGTGTGCAGCACAAACACTTCTACACATTTGCTATGTGCTGAGCTTACTGTCTTTCTAATTCCACTGTGACAGTCCACTGGTGTGTGCTGTGTCTCTCCGTGTGCTCATGTGGACCAAGAAGGGGCAGGTAGACTAGCAGGGCCTTTGTGCGTGCTTCAACACTTTACCAAGAGATTGTAGTGTTGACCCCTTTGAGTCGTCACTTGCAGAAGGACAGAACCGAGGGCTGTTATCCATCCCTGCCCTTGTGGACTCTGTGGATAATTGCCTGGGAAGTAACCAGGGACCCTGCGGGCTCTACCCCAGGTGGCTTGGGTTCCAAAAGGGGCCAAATTGTGAGTGCATTCTCCAGTCACTTAATGACCGAATCTTCCTGAGAAGTGCTTTGGTAGCCAGCTGGTCAGGTGAACAACCCTGAGCTTGAAGACCTTGGTGGCCCCACCTGCTGCACACTTGGGCTGTGGGAGAGATGGAGAGAAAGGAAAGGAGAGGAAGGAAGTGAGAGGGAAGAGAGAATAGGTTCCTCAGGGACTGTGACAGAGGAGACAAACCATGCAGAAGAGAAAATGTGTCATTAGGGGGCAAGATACCCAGGACACACAACACTTAGGTGTGTTCTTGAACTGGTGGCCTTAGACTATTGTATGTGAACAGTTGTCCCCATTAGGAAAAAACTGCTGCTAGTATGTGGGCCTATTTGTTTGGGCTTTTCTTTTTTTACTCCCCCACCCCCCTAAGTTGACCACACATGCTCCCGGATGGTGAATTTGGGATGAAGTTCTGAGCACCCTGAGCCTACTTCAGAAGCAATGGCTCTCCTCTGGACAGACCTTGAGCAGGAGCTGAGCCGGCAGTAGAGGGCAGTAGAGGGCAGAGCAGTGTGCCAAGAACATCTGTCCACAGCATGCTGTGGATCTGGGCCATAGCCACAAAGCAGGTGACCTGTGGCCTTATATGGATTTTGGAGGAAGCTTGTCTGTCTGTGTCTGTCTGTCTAATATAGCTCTTCGTGTTCACCTGTGCGTATTGTTCATTGATTATGAGTGATTGTTTCCTATGGAGAAAAAACCAAAAGCCACTTTGTGGAGTGGGTAGAACTGGACGTGGGCGATAGACCGATCCCCTGGGGAAACTCCAGATTTGACTGGATAGATTTTTCCTGTCCAGCTACTGTCTTGTCCACGTCAAGATAAGCAAGGTCAGAGCACTGTTCCATTGGGGAACAGGATTGGGAGGGCTAGGGCCAGCCTGGACTACACAAAGAATGGGATTTGTAGGGTTGGTCTGCTAAGATGTCAAGTTCACCTGGGTTTGGGGGCAGACACCTGTCATCCCAGCACTCAGGAGGCTGAGGCAGGAGGATCACCAGGAGCTGAAGGCCCTCTTTGACTAAAGTGAGTTCAAAGCTAGTGAATACATTAACAAGACTTTGGTTAGGAATAGAGTTATCCATAAACTGAATAATCCTTTCAACTCTTCTTGACTTTCCTCGCCTTCTGGTTTCCAAGTGTCTGTCCCACTTACTGTCGGGGCCAGCCTCCCTCTAGGTGGGCACATTTCAAAGTTTAAATGCATTTATTTGACTGTTGGCTGAAATTTGAAAGATGCCATGAATATCACTTTCAACTTGTGTAAATATATGAAAAAGAAAAAAAGACTGGAATTTTCCTCAAGCAAAAAGTAGTACAGCTACTCCTCAGGAAAAGTAGATGTGCTCTATTATAACCACACAATTGTAGGTGATGGTGGTAACTTCCTGTGAAATTAGGGAAATAAATTGGCTACTAGTGGGAAGTTTTCTATAGAGTGAATAAATTGACTGATAGACTGACCAATCTATTAAAATTCCACAGATTTCTATCTACCAGGCTGTGGTTTGAACCAGACATGACTGGGGTTTTTACTTGCAGGCTCCAAAACCTGACTTGCCCATGGCAGCCAGTAAATACACAGGACGTTAGGCAGCTTGAGACTCTGGAGAAGCCTGCTAGAGCCCACACCGACAGCTATGATCAACTACAGGGCCAATTCTTGAAAACAACAGGCATACATTGGCAGCCTTGACCCTGGACCACACCCACCCCAGAACCCACACCATGCCACCCTCCAGAGCAGACCTGTCTGTTGCCAGCAGCCTTTACAGACATAACCAGAGCCCTGTCCCTTGGGTACCAGCTTGTGACTCCAGCTTGGAAGACCTGTCTGACCGGCATGGCCCAATTTTCCACCTATCTAGCTGCAAGGGAGGCTGACAAAGCCAGGGGCTCATCTCTGTGCTTCCAGAATGAATTCTTCCAGAGGATGGGCCGCTGAGGCCAGGGGCAAAAAGAACAGTTACCATGCTTAGGAATGTAGTTGCCAAATATGTAGTGGTGCTTTCCTATAATTTCAAATACAGGGCAGAATGAGGCAAGAGGGGCACAGGTTTGAGTCTAGCCTGAGAACTTAAGTGGGACCCCCAAAAGTTAAAAAGAACTCAGGATGTAGCACATATGCATCCCCGGGCCCAGTCTCCCTACACAATATAGTTGCCTTCTCCGAAATCAAACTTTTGCAATGTCCTGTTGCCCTTGACCTAGGTCTCTGTGGTCTGTCCCACCCCAGGAAGAGGTAGCATCTCCTACCAGGGCCCTTTCTGGGACAGCCTGAGGCAACCTTCAGCTTTGTGACTGCAAAGTACAAGCTAGAGTTTCCTGGAAAGGTTTTTGGGAATGAAAGAGAGTCTTGATCTCAAAAGGGAGGGAGGTTCATAGGGTAGAGCTGCACCTCCCTTTTCTACACACCCTGGTGGGGGTAGCCCCAGTGTGTGCGATAACATTTCTGTGAAACACAGCTGTGTACGTTAGTGTGTTCAGAGACAGATAATAGAAGACCCCAGTGAACTGAAAGGTGGAGATAAAGCCAAAGACCAAGAAAGTCAGCTCCTGGAATGGGACAGACACCACCTGTCCAGAACACGGCTGCACTTTACCTCCAAGCCAAGCTCCCTGCTGGGTGCAAGAGGCAACACAGCTCTCGCTCACCTCACACAAGAATGCATTCCTCTAGTGGGATGGGATGTTGTTGTGATTATGAGGTCATACATAGTGACCCATAATGGGGATTATGATGTCATGGTGACCTCATAATGGGGAATGTTAAGGTCATAATGAGGAATGGTGATGTAACAGCTAGACACTGGGGGATGATGTCATAGTGGTAGATGGTGCTTTGATTATGATGTCATGAAAACCTCATCATGGGGATCAATGAGGTCATAATATCAAATGGTGATGTCAGAGCTGAAACGCAGTTATGTGATGTCCTCACTGAGGATGGTGCTTCCACTATGATGTCATGGTGAATTTACATGGGGATTACATCATGGAGACCTCATAATGGGGAGTATGACATCATGGTCACCACATAATGGGGAAATATGAAGTTATATTTCCTGATTGGTGATGTCAGAGCAGGAATCTGGCCTAATGATGTCCAAACAGTAGATGTTACTTCCACTATGAGGTCATGATGACCTCATAATGGAGAACCATGAAGTCATAATGTGAAATGGTGATGTCACAGCTATAACCCAGAGTGTGATATCATCATGGTGGGTGGTGCTTCCATTATGCTATAATACTGGCTTCATGATGGGGATGACCACATAATGTGTAACTATGAGGTGGTACTGCTGACTGATGATGTCAGAGCTGGAACCCAGTCCAGTGAGTTCATCATGGTGGATGTTGCTTTGATCAAGAGGTCATGGTGACCTAATCATGGGGATTATGATATCATGGTGACCACATCATGGAGAACTATGAGGTCATAATGTTGAACGGTATGTCACAGCTGGAACTCAAGTTGGTGACATCGTCTTGGTGAATGGTGCTTCCATTATGATGTTAGAGTGATCTTATAATAGGGAACTATGAGATCATAACAAGGAAAGTCGATGTCACAGCTAACCCCTGCCCAATGGTGTCATTATGATGGAAGTTGTTTCTGTTATGAGGTCATGGTGACCTCATAATGGGGAACTACGACATCAAAATGCTGAATAAGGATGTCACAGCTGGAATTTGGGGGGAGGTGGATGATGCTTCCATTATAATGTCATGCTGTCCTCGTAATGGGGATTATGATGCCCTAGTGATCTCATAATTGGGATTATAATGTCATGATGACTTTCTAATGAGGGACT